ATACTATTCTGTGACGCACTTTCTGTATTCAAAATTCATTTTTCCTGCGAAAAGCAACGCTAAAAATACTTACAAAGTTTTAAATTTTATAGTGTAAAGTGGATTTCGAATAAAATATAATAAGATAAAACTAATGTAATTGAATACACTAGTATCTCTCAATCTCTGTTTAAAAGATAACTGCATTATTTGCATCTAAATTGAAGCTGTGGAAGTGCAAGTAACCCCTGCACCCGCTGCACGCGAGTGTAACTTGCACTTGACCGGTTTTCGTTCCTACTTCATAATGAGATGGTGATTATTTATTTTCCAGAATATAAAAACTCGGATTTTGCATTTGGTCATAATAATATGTCAGTTTTATGATACGTAACTGTACTGTGAAATGAAATGAAATAGTTTATTCAGTACATGCTGAATGCGAGCGGCGCAGAACCGGTCTTTGTGGAAATCATTGTCCAGCAGTGGACGTCTTTTGGCTGAAACGAACGAACGAAATTCAGAACATAGGCTCTTTCCAGGGCACTTAACACGTCCCAAATATAGCTTGCCCTACCAAATAACTTTTTTATACAGTCTAGGATGTTATATATCTATTGTGTTAATAGTAGTTAATTCTACGTGAACACAGAATTTAACAGCAAATGTTAGTTTGATTCGGGAAATAAGTGAAGATCTATTCATCTACTTCTATTCTACTTTTTGATATCTTAAACCTACGAGTATCTCAATATTGTGTAGCATAAATGTTATATTTTTACATTTCGTTGACTACCTTTTTACTATCCCAACAGATTGTAGACGTATTTGTGAATAATTTCAGCTTGTCACGCGTGCCAGATAAACAAGGTGTTGACAGACATACATTCGCTAGTAATGGTATCGAACCCTAAAAATAATCTAGATTGCCAAATGTGTGGGAGTGACACTTGTGCGGTTGTGGCATTCACATGTTTTCTCGTATTTTATTATTCATACTACGGCGTCTGGATATACTGATTGTTCTTTAAAGATAGAATTTTGTGGATCTTGTCTTTGACTTATTTTATTCAAAGTTGTTATATCACTAAATAAATACTCTCTTTTTCAGATAATTTTTTTAAAATGTATTTACATAAAGACTTTCGATGAAATCCTTTGGTCACCATTGACGTTAAAGCCATGTAAAAGTAAGCGTCTTAATTTACTTGTTAAATTTCAAGCGTCATTGACTTTTTATACTAGGTGACTTTGCAAACAGTATCGTAATAAGCTCTTAAACAATTGAACAATACAACTTTATCATTATTATTTTTAATCGAGGTATCTTTCGCAAAAAAAAATCTAATTGCCCATAAATTTTAAGTTTTAAAGGATAAGGCTTATTTTCGCCCACCATTATGTCTATTAAGCTTTGCTGTATGAACTGTATGAAGGTATTTTTCTGTGAACGAAGTAAATAATATCCACGTGTGTCAACTTTTTAACCATAACGCATAGCTGATAAAACATATTAAATATGAAAAAAATGTTTTCTTTATGTAAATCGATTAATGATTGTGAGTCACTCTTAAAAATTTGGACAGTGATTACAAAGTCACCCTGTATAAACAATTTAGGCTTTAATCAAAAGTCAATTTAAATAAAAGCTTAAAAAAAGCTTTAATATTCAGATGAAACCGACTCAAATATAGAGCGATATTACAAGTCGTCGAAAATTCAAACCTTAAAATTTAAAAATCTTAGCGCAAACAATTTCCAAAGTTTGTGTGACTCCAGGCTGAACTGTGATAAATATTTATGACATAATTACGCTCTTCGAAACTTCGATTACACAGCCACGAAGAATTTGGGACCACTTCGTTCGCAGGCATATGTTTCGTCGGAAAGTTACGGCGTCGCTTGCAAACTTTGCGTAGTTATTCGGGTTTTTCTCTTCCCTTCATTGACTTTGATTACTACGAACTTGACTAGATACAGAAGGAAAAAACAAGGAAGGCAACATAAACATTTTTATATGGAGCCCTGTATGGACGTTTACAAGAACTCGTAAAATTCTGAGAACGCATTGATGTAGCTTTTCGACCATTTGTAGACAATATGAAAATGTTTTGCATATGGCACATCATTTTCGCAGAATTTCATAAGCCTATGCGATAGCTGGCAAAGATAATTCACTGTAATTTTAAGTACAATTTTAAATATAGTTTTGCCTCTAAGTTTCTTTCGCACCACGATACATTTCAAGTGTACCTACGGTGTTGTGTGCACACTTACCCGACCCATGTTTGGGTCGCTAGAAAAAGGTTTATATTTACAATTTCTAACGTAAAACATCTCAGCGACTAAACATAATATCTGACCGTACTTCACGGTATCGGCTCACAAAGCGAATGGCGTGGAAAAGAATATGGATGAGGGTAAAATTACCCCACTTCATGTGAAAGCTTAGGCAGAATTCTACGCTAATCGGTTGGATGTGCTTGCTCAGTTAATGGTTAGTGAAGAAACTTTTTGATGGTTTTAACATTTAAGTGACTTAATAAACGTCTTTTCAATAAATTAGTAACTTTCAAAGTAATGATTAGTAAAGAGATCTTACAATAACGACTTTTCAGTGAAATAGCATACGAGAATAAATTACTATATTTTAATTTATCATTTCTTGTGGCTTTTCTAACAATAATGGTGGCTTTATTTCAAGAACTTAATAGTTTCGGAGCTCCACCGACCTTTCTCGATGTTACGTCATAAGTTGTTATGATTAATCGCACATCGTTATTGGCAATAACTACGTCGTCTGACGTCAGTACAGTTACTGATTTTAGTAATAGTTTTAAGTTTACTATGTTTGATGTTTTACCGTGAAAGAATCAGTATCGGAACGAGATTTTATTGAAAAATATTAAATCAAATTCTGTGGAAGCGTATTATACTCATTCACACCGGCTGCGCACAGGCTTCAGCAATAGGTATAAATGCCAAATAAAATACTATATCCAATAGCAAAAATTGTACGGATGAACGGTTTTAAAATCATAAAAGCTGTACATAAAGCTTATAATGTATAAAGTTCGCATACTACATTTCTCCTGAGAATTCTTTACAAAGAAAAACGTTCATAACTTTTGAAAGCAACAGCCGAATCCGCTTTCTTGTCATCATTAGCAACTACTCACGCCATTTCCCTACCTTTTATCGTCTTAATTAATTTAATTAGATAGTATTTTGCGTTTATCGTTAAAATGTAAGCGGATTTACCAACAGTGTTTATTTATTCATGTTTAAAATGGCTCACTCTTTAATATGAAAATACGGCTACAGGCTTTTACTATCTGAAGTATGATTTACCACAGATTTTTTTGCAAATTTCACCATTCTGTTCATATTTCTATATAATTTCAGTGTGATTATTTATTTTAAGACAATACAAATGCCATTTAAAACTTTGGTTTTATTTAATAACTCAGACCACATAATTTAAATGATTAAAAAATATGTTTTAGGTTAGGTTAGGTTAGGTATTTATTTAAATTTTGTTAGAAATACTTGTTACAATCTAGACAGAATATTATCTATCACAAGTTCACTGTCTAAATATTTGCCGCTTGGTGGGTTTAGAACTCACGAATTCCGGAAAATGTACACTAAAGCAAACCATCCAACGGATTATAATCAAACTTAACTGCCTTTGCTCGTGAATCTACTCGTGCCAAAAATTCTTTTAAAATTAAAGTCTTGCATCCTAAGTTCTGTTTCTTTAAGAATTATTTTTTTTATATTAAAGAGGTTGGTTTTTAAAACGATTCTATTTTTTTAAAATGCTGCCCAAAAGATGAGATACTGGCCACATAGAAAAAAAAACTTATTTTCTTTTAACATCATCGACTGTCCTTTGTTATTTTCTGCTTCGTTTTTGTGGTCTTTTATTTAAATTGAATAAAATAAAGGCTTTCTAGTGATAAAATGCGGAATAGGTAAGTTGATTTTTTGTGTATTTTTTACTTACTTTTACATTATCTATCGTGGATTATGTTTTGATAATTACAGTAAGTATTGAATAGTGTTAACAAAAGAACTAAAATTAGATTGCGTTGGTGGTTTATAAAATCAAGCATATTATAACAGCCCATAAAAGAAGTGGAAAGGATTTTACAGTTTAAATCCGTGTGCTCTAGCGACTATCGTTTTTGTGAGCAAAGAAACAAAACGCGTGCCGATTCGATGCTCGATGCAAACGTAAAATTGACATTCGCAAAAAGCCACAATCGTCATAGCGCGAAATAACTTTGTGGTTGGCTCAGTGAGTACAATATTCCGAATGCGTTGAACTAAATTGTACGGTTTCGACATCCAACTCATGTAACATAGACATAAATATCGGACATATTTCATTCTGTTACCTAATGATACCTCAAACTTAAAATCCTAGATAAATATATTATTATGACTACATTTAATACAGTTACATAACTATTTATAAAGACCGGTCTGCCTTTTAAGGTAGTAATAACAGGCTTTCAATTCAATTATGTATATTATTTTCTATACCTGAATATTAAGTTAGGGCATAGCTAGGGCCATAAAACTACGAGGAAGCAATTTAATTGTAAATAAATAGATAGAATTAGACATGAAATATAGCTACTTAATTATAATCTCTGGATCTTCAAGACAAGCCAATAGTCAATAAGGTACGTTTGTTGTAAGATTGTATGTATCTAACAATCTTAGGCTATATTTAGGTACGCTTAACGTCAGTACGGTTTGCGGTCAATTAGTGATGTAATACTAGAACGGAGTAGATCAGAGTAACAGGCAAAATCGAAATGCAAAACTAAATCAATCCTTATATAGTCTTAACTCCTTCTCATCAATAAAACTAACATGATAAACTATTGTCGAAGCATTTTATCTAATTTACGCAATAAGCTCATACATTGATCGATAAGTTTTTATCACGACGCGCCTTTAGGCCGGGTGGAGACCTCCAAAAGTATAACCCATTTCTTTCTTTCCAGGGCTGTTATGCCTTCGTAACGTCCACGTAGTGGTCCCAGAGGCAGTCGAACGCGGTTCCAAGGTGGAGATGCGGTGCCTCTACGACTTGGAGAAGGAGGAGCTGTATTCCGTGAAATGGTACCGGGGGGACCGGGAGTTCTACAGATATTCGCCCCGGGACGTCCCGCCGCTCAGAATATTTGGCATCCCCGGCATTGAAGTTGATGTAAGTAGTTGTTTACTTGTTTATTTCTTTAGTGCTACGTGTACAGTGGTTGAAAATGTTCTTGTAACTTGAACGTCCGCTCGAACGCTCAATGAGCGATTCCATACAAAATGTATGGAAGTGTCATCTGCGATTCATTGCAGACACTTGTACTTTGTACTAGCAAGTGGCTAGTTAATTGCAACCTAGTATTTATTACCTAGTTAATTGTAAATAAAAATTACTTTACTTAGCTAGTTTTACAAGTAAATGTTAGGTCTTTATCCCGCGTCAACGAAATGTGTGAAACTAGCAAAAAATATAAAACAAATTACTTACAATAAAATTTATCACAGTTTTTTGCAGACACAATGATAAAGTGTTCTAAAATTGTCTATCGACATAATAGAACTTATTTTCAATCTAGCAAATGTGTCCAATGAAATAGTAAATTATTTCTAAATGGATCTTTGACAGCAACAACTAACGGAATTTTTGATAACATTGAAACTTTAATAGAACTGAAACGACTGGTCAAAGCCGCTGAAACGGTCTAAATTAGTGGAATTAGCTCGCTGGACATAGACAATCGAATATCCATGTTACTCGGTTTTGCAAAATTACTGTCTAGCAATAGTAATAGTCTTCTAATGGGGTAGAATTTAGTTTGTGTATTTATACGAGTCCCTACTTAGCTCATGGAAGACCAATATTGCTCTAATTCTAAGGCTGAGTTGTGCCACCTGATTTTAACCGTAACAATAACATTAACCGGTGCTTTATATAGAGTTTGACAGATTTTTGACGTTTGTCAAAGTTAAAGTAAGATAATGCAACTGAGCCTAAGTAATGGAACAATGATTCGTAGGTAGTTTGTTATTTAGACAAATCGATTCGTGATTGAACCACTATTAACACAACTATTAAATTCGTTACGATTTGATTGTTGTTGGTGTTTAACAATTATTATTTACGTATTAAGTAAACAAACACCAAAACGTAAACATATGAAATAATAAGTTTCATTACGTACATACCTATAGGGAAATAACCATTAATTATTTAATGTTTGGTCAATGATCAAAGAGAACGATGAAATAGGTACCTACATTATATTTGCTGTTTTCGCAGAATTGTATAATTCTTTTTTAATTTAATTATGCTTATCCTGAAGCCTGAAATTAAGTCAACCTTTAATATTCAATCTGAAAGTACACGTTTCTGAAAACAGTAATAACTTTACAGGATGAAAGGTTTTGCAAAAAATATTATACACATAGCATCATACCTACTTACCCTTATGATTGTTATTAGTGCTATTTTGTGACACAAATAAGTATGATTTTATTGCATAGTATTTATAATTTGATGATTGATAATTCTGCAATACAAGGCAAACAAACTTTAATTTTTAACCGACTTCATGAATACAAAATACCTTTTAAAAAACCCTTAACTTATTAACAATCCAAAATTCAATTATCTGTCTATTACAGTAGATTTCATAAATAAGCACCAATAACGGTGGCGGATACCTTCTCATTCCTCAGGGAGCTGAAATGCTTTCTGCGGAGCCGCATTCTGCTCGAAATTTTTAAGGCAGATGTTTTCACAGATACCTTTAAAACGGCACGCGCTCTGGTATACAAAATACTAATAGAAATTGTTGCTGTGTGCACAAACGAACGTGTCGTTAAATATTCAGGCAACTGCAGCGTATAGCGCTAAATAAATTTCTTGCCAATTTTCAGTTTTCAGAGCTTAAGTTTATCGAATTTTACAGGAAACCAAGCCCTCGTAACGGGATTAATTTCCTAAATTAGTTTATCACTTCTTGCTTTATTGTTTTATTAATAAAATATATTTTCCAAGTAAATGCAAATCAACTTATAGGGCTACAAAAGATTCTAAAAAAAACACATAGCAAACTCATAGCTCCGAAACTACTGGACCAATTTCAAAAATACTTTCACCATTACAATCCCACATTATTTCTGATGAACGTAGATAGTACGAAGTTCGCCAGGACAGATAAGTTGGTATAAAAGTACCAAAATTAAGTTGTTTTTTGCTTTACATGTTACCTGATACTACTTTTAAAATAATTAACGAGAAATCTCCATTCTAAACTGTTCATCGTCCCATTAAACCAGCACTGACATTAAGGTTACTAGTCGTCCGGCTTTGAATTCCCAACACACTTCAGCACCAGTTTGAGAGCTTAAGGTTTGCGGTAAGTTATTTATGCTTCTGAATAAATTGATTTGCACCCACGAGACTCGTCGGGCTTCAGATGCCCGAAACTTAAGCCAGAGACACTTTTGTTAGTGGCACTTTGAAGCAATTTGTTGTGAACGATGTGATTTGGTAACCATTCCCCGCGGTGTAAGAAACTTCGGAACTTTTTCAACCTGGACTTATGGATAATGAAAACATAATACGAAAGTATTTTATTGGACAACAACAAGATCCATTAAGGTTAGTGAATACCAAACTTTGATAAGTCTAAATTATGAAACTGGTATTAAGATATGAAACTCTGCTGAGAAAACTGTGAGGAACACTTTATGAGCTCGTTTGTTATTTGAAAACTGTGGTAAAGAACTTCAATTGCGGCGCATATTTTCAACACATATTATATCCCCTGGATAATTAAAAATATGTAAAATATTTTAATACCCGTCTTAATGCAAACATGTTTTCAGAGAAAATCCCATATTATTATGATATACACGAACGAAATGTGAATTCAAAGGTCGTTTTATGCTTCAAATTTCACAAAATGGCACAATTTTTAGTATTCTATTTGTTTTCCCGTATTGGAGAATTAAAAGGCTAATAGGTAGGTACTGTATATTGAAAAAAGATATTCATCAATAAGCCTCTTTCTGTAATAAATAGCGTAAAATTATGATACAAAAGTCAGAAATATAATTTTTGCGAAACATGAAACTGTAGAATAACTCAAAATGATAATAATTCTACTAAAACTAATAATTTCAATAATTGAAAGTTTGATTTCATACAACACATCTTTCGTTTCGATAATATTCACGACTAAATTCTAACAATTGGTGAATACATTTTAGTTCCCCGAATCAATCTGTTATTTTCCAATAATTAGCGTGAATTTGATTAGAAGTACACGGGTTTGCCGTAAACCAACCCAAATAGTGTTCGAACATGAGTTCTCACAGTATTAATTGTTATAAATGGAAACACAAATGACACAAACAAATATAGATTGTGAGCCGCAAGCAATACCTATTACTGAGTCAAATCTTTCAGAGCTATAACCAATAACAGAGCAAAATATCACAGAGTATTTATGAACTTTATGACTTTATTTGTATCAAACTTAGTCATAACTAGGGACCGGATGCATTTGCATATTAAAGTCATTCTTCAATAGCATATTTTACCTAAAATCTAGTGAAGATGCATATTAACGATACATTTACAATATTTTTCCGAGTGCAGAGCGTCCTGAAATGTGACAAAAGTAATAATATTTTTCAAATCAAACTTTTCCTCTAACGAAATGTGAATAAAAAGGACGTGGTTCCCAAACTAATAAACATACTTGTATGCTGGTTTTGAAATATAAATGAAAACTTACTTTTTTTTCGTTCCTGAAACTTATTATTTAATTTTGCATAGCTTTTTATGTTACATATAATCCGGTCTCAACTTAACTGTATTTAAACTACTCGTACCTACTCCGCGCTTTACGCTTCAAAAAAGATAAGTTGCAATTTTAAAACTGTGGTAATTACTGAGTTCTGAAGGCTAATGCTAATAAATTATTTATTTATTATGGTACCTACTGTTGGAATTTTAATCCGTAAAACATGCCCACTTTAATCACGTTTTTGTCCGTCAACGTGATAACAACTCTTAAAACTACAAATTTACAATATTTGTGGTACTAATTATACAATGTCATGACTGCTGCGAGTATGCGTCTACTGCGTAATTGTGTTTGAGCATGAAAGCTCCAGTACAAAGTTGCTGGAAACTTTGACGGCCAGCCAGTTTATATTATGACAGTGCTTTATAACATTTTCTGACTCGAGTGTTTGTCTAACAGTTAAATCAACACAGATGATCGTAATTACTTAAATTATAAATATAAAAGTTTGTGTTTGTTTTAAAAATAGACTGTTGAACTTTGAGGAGATTTAATTATCAAATTAGACCCCGCCGTAAATGAATTTTAAAGGAGAACACGTGAGTGGTTCTTAGAACATATACATCATTTATTTTAATAAAAACTTTTATCGTCAAGGTGGAAGCGTTAAATTCCAATGCTGCTACCATAAAAACTGTTCTTATAAAATTACTGAATTTGATCATAAGATAATGGCAATCAAAGTAGCTACTTATCTTAAATAAACAATTAGATCCACGACTCATAAAATCCTATACGACCTATTGAAAGAAAACGACGGTCATAATCTATACAATAAATCTGTAGAGAGGTCAATTCTGTACATTAAATATATTTTCAAAATAACTATCAGGGGGTGATTAGTGATCGATACTGATGCCAAAAATGCAATCAGTAAAATTTTTGTCTGTCTGTCTGTGTCTGTCTGTCTGTATGTTCCTTATGGAAACAAAAACTACTCGACGGATTTTAACGAAATTTGGTACAATTATTCTTCGTACTCCTGGGCAGGTTATAGGATACTTAGGAATTCCCACGGGAACGGTAATTAGCTGGAAAATCCTTTTGTAAAAAAAATCTAAACCGCTTCAGTTAGACGCTTGAAATTTGGCATGCAGGTATCTTAGTAAACTTAAAGCTTAGTTACAACAGGATATTGCAAAATTCCCACGGGAACGGGAGTTAGCGGGAAAAAACATTTGTATGAAAAAATCTAAACCGCTTAAGTTAGATGCTTAAAATTTGGCATGCAGGTATCTTAGTAAACTTAAAGCTTAGTTACAACAGGATATTGCAAAATTCCCACGGAAACGGGAGTTACCGGGAAAAAACATTTGTATGAAAAAATCTA